TGTCCGTAGGCAGTACTCATCTAGGGGGTGGGTAGCAATCCCACTTTTTAATCCGAAACCGCTGTCGGGGCGTTCCCGAAAGTTTCTACGCTGGAGGAGCCTCTACACTCAGAGAGATAGAGTCGTCTTCTCTATCTAGGGAGTACGCGCGGGGGGGGGGACGGGCTGATGTATTTCGGCCCGTTAGCCCCTCGCGTGCGGCGTACGACCCGACGCACAATGCGGGCCCGACCATTCGGAGTGGACAAGCGGAGAGCGTGGCTACTGACCCTTAGGGGCCGGGACACCACTACACCAATGCTGCGGCGGTAACACTTTTCCGTCGTATGCAGAAGTGCGTCAGCTCTCATCTTGAGAATCAAAACGTCCGATAAGGCCGTATAGGCTAGGTGCGGACGTTAAAGATCCTTTTGTCTTGTTGACGATGAGTAAATCGGGAAGCATACTGTCTTTTCTTGTCTGTGTGTTTCAATACGGTTAGTATGAATAGACGACAGACAAAAAATATTTGAAAAATCGTTCTTCATCGTCTCCAAGCTCCTTAAAAAGTGTGTGAAACTCTCCCTCCTTTTTCGTTTATGTTCATCGGATGAACAGCAAACCTCCTTTTCTTTAGTTCCACTTCTGCATATTCTTCATTCTCTTTTTCTTCTAATAACATTGCTACAGCGGCAAGCGCTTCAGTCGAAAAAAATGGCTGTTCGTTGGTCTGTAGGTGACTGTTGCTGTGATTATGGCATGGTACGAACCTAGTGTCTGTGCCGGGTCTGCCACGCTACGTGCTGTACACGCTCTTGTGCTGGTAGATATGAATCGATCTTGAACAGTAGAATGGAGTGGTTGGAATCAAAATTGATGGTTGGGATTAAGTTTTCTGAGTCGATTATGGGAATTAGTCTTTTAAGGAGGTAAGACGTATAAAGGTTTTGGATAAAATAAGAAGGTTGCTTATTGGTCTATAAGGGGATGGGTCAGAGGGGGATATGTGTGGTTTTGATATTGAGGTTATTTGATAATTACAATTAATTAAGGTTTTTAGTTGAGATAAAAAAGTCAATGGCACGAGCGGGATTCGAACCCACGATCTTCGGCTAGATACGCCGCTGCTGTACCACTTGAGCTATCGTGACCTCGATCCACTCGAACACCAACTTCCCATCTCAACCCCACCTTTTGACTTTCCCTCCTTTTTGCCATTTCTCAAATGTCGTGTAGTCGGATTGGATTCTCGACGACAAAGTTAAAAAAGAGGGAAAATTCAAAAGGTGGGGTTGAGATGGGAAGCAGCGGCGTTTCTAGCCGAAGTTTGTGGGTTCGAATCCCGCTCGTGCCATTGACTTTTTTTATCTCAACTAAAAACCTTAATTAATTGTAATGTATTAATTGGTCAAGCGGACCACGAAATTAGTGAATTATTTGATAATTTTTTACTGGAATTAATTTGGTAAGGTTATTTAAATTTGTTCTTTGGTACGTTATTATCTTAAAAAAATGTTTAACCTTATTATTAATAACATTTAATTTTTGACTAAATGGTTATGTGGCATTAAAATTGAGACTTCTAGTAGGTATCGTTATTTCGAGTGATGAACAAATCTAAAAAAAAGGTAAATTATAATCTATTTTTTCTTTTATTATAAATTTGTTACTGTTATTTAGATTATTTAGTTCTATTAGAGAAAAAAACAAATTTAATTTAAAGATGTTTATTCTTGTACAAATTCATCAACCGTATGCAACGGGTGCTCAAATACCAATTCGACAGATTTTTTTAATAAACTTTTTTACAGGTTTATAAGCAACAACCCTTTATTCGTTAAATTAAAATAGAATAAAATGCTTGGAAATATTGTAGAATTTTGCTTGTCATTAGTCAGTTGTTAGCGGCTAACCTCACCCTGCTTATAACCTTAAAGTCCGGTTCATTTTCTAATCGCAGGCACTTTTTCTATAAATAATATTCATTTAATCTTTTTTACACAAACTTATCTAAGAACCATGTAATGAATGTGGAATGGGAAAGAAGAGTACAAATGTCCAACTTAACGAGTTTTTAAACATTTTTTGGCGTTAATTTCAAAAGTATGACCAATCTTCTATGAAGAAGCTGGAAAATTTATGCTTCATTTGAATCCATATTCCCAGGATAATCGTAAAAATTGGATACCTGGAATCGGAATCGTAACTCAATCACTACTAAAATGATGGATCGAGGTGTAATTCCGTCTATTTTTTAATACCTTCAAAAGTGATATACAAAATTAATAAAACGTGTTTTTCAATTCGTGAATAATAACAAATCTTTCAATATTAAACAAAATTGTAGGGTAAATAGTACTATTCATTTTTTGTTTTATCATGCAAAAAAATTTTTTTTTCGTATGTCCTTAGATTCCTTATTTTGATAGTTTTATTAAATATTTACTTCGGCTTTTTTTTTATGAAATATACTTATTTTCTTTTAACTTTTTGCAGCTTATTTTTGATTTTTCAAATAAAAATTATAACTCGTAATGAAATTGAAGTTATATGAAATTGACGAAACTTACACATTGTTATCTAAGAATTAAAAACCCATGAAAGTAGAATGCCTAAAAAACCTAATTTGTTCTAAATTTATTCCCACTTAGAATATTTGAATATTTTTCATGTTAAATTTATATTTTAACGCCAATGGATAGATTCCAATACCATTAGCAAAATGTATTTACAATTTTTAAAGTAAAGTATTTCGAGCAGTATGCAATAATTGCATATATACTGATACAATAACATAATTTTCAATATAATTATTTGATAAACGTAAAACAAATATACATATAATAAAATCCATTACATTATGGGTAAAGTGCAAATTAACTACCAACTGAAATTCAAACTACTCAATGTGCATGAAATGGGAGGGAGAATTTTTGTGAATAGAATGAGGTGGTGTTAGTATAATCTAAGTGGAAACAAAGCAAGCTTTCTAAGTCTGCATAATGCAGCTATAACAGTGTCCCTGTCCTGGGTGAGAAATGGTTTGAGTTACTGGTCGTTTTTCATTTTTATGTTTGCAAATGTCACTTTTTCATTTTACGTGGTGGTGAGTTTCTCAAGAGAACGTTCTACTTTTTACTTATATGCTAGAACAATTGGTCAATTAATTTTTTTTTAATGCAAAAAATAAACAAAATTTTTGACAATTTGTAAAGTTTATAAAAGGTACCATACATCACTTAACAAAAGAACGGCAGGCATACAAAAGTTATACTTGTTTTTTTTATATATTATAGCGTACTTTTTAGTAAATTTGAACTATAGTTAGTTTAAAATATTCCTAAATTTAGATTTTCTTTATACTGAAGGTTTGATTGGAAAGTACAGAGTTTAGAAAAAAGGACCCATCAAAATTTATTTTCAAATAGTTGACGCGCGTTTATAATAACCTTTATAATTATAAATAAATTTATAATTATAGCATCACAAAAAATAAATTTTAATCAATGATCATTGATTATTGCACCCAAAATTGCATTGTTTAGCCTATGCTAAAAAAACAAGAAGGCAATTTGTAGTAAAAATACTGAGATTCATTTAAATTTATTTGGACAATATTAAAAAATATGTTTTCGAAAAAAAAAATCAGCATAAAAATTACCAAATTGGGTTAAAAAGTATTACTGTTAAAGTGTTTAAGTAGATTTTTTAACCTGGAAAAATACTGACTACCAAATTGGTGCTGGACTACCAAAATTTTTCATTTCGAGAGTTTGCCAAAAAGGCCTAATTCTTGCAGAATTAAATATTGTGTATTTGAAAACAAGTTTAAACTATTCTTAAAAAAAAGAGCTTTTGGTTTAAAAAAATGTCCTACTTGCTGGTGTCTTTCTGACTGAGAAAATATATTATCATAAATTATTAATTATGGAATATTTAAAGCTCCTAATCACGAAGTAGATTGAAAGTCACCTCCACATATTTATCATTTCTGATTTTAATATTCTGTTATCCTTGAAACTCTAGTTCAAATTTGAAACATTGGATTAAAGTACTCTTTACAAATTTCCCTAGAGTTCTTTCTTAGCCCGAACTACTCTTTTTTTTAAATAAATCATGTTTCACACTTCAGAAGTTTCATGTTTATTAAAAGCTTTCCTTCTAAAACGCTGTTTAATATTCCATGAAAAGATAAAATAGATAACTTAAACGTTTTGTCCGATTTTTTTCATATTTTTCGATGAGTTATAAACTAATTTGGACTATATTTTACAAACTGGCGCTATTATATAAGCACGTAAGAGAGTGAGAGAAAAAGAAAAGAGACAGAAAAGAGAGAGAGAGAGAGAGAGAGAGAGAGAGAGAGAGAGAGAGAAAGAGAGAGAGAGAGAGAGAGAAACGGAAGTCCAGTTACCAACCTGTAAATTTAAATTCAAGTTCAGATATTAAATTACAAATTAAATCATAGTAATAAGAATCAAGCTCTTAAATGCTTAGTGCTCAGATATGTATATATGTGTGGATATTAGAAATAAGAAAGTCATAAAGAAGTGGATAATAAGCAAAAGATCAGTGTGACTGAAACAATCGCTCAACCTTCATCAGTATGTTAAATCATTGATTAATTAGCAGATTTCTTTATGAACGTAGAACATGGCTTGTCAGAAAATTGTTAAACGAGGGTGTAAAATATTTATTAGTATTAATTATCTTGCGATTAAAGAAACTGACAGTCCAAAAAACGTGCTACAAAATACGTGCACTATAAAAAACATCAAGGTAAAACAATGAAATGCTTTATTTATTAGGATGCAAAAAGCCCAATAATAGGGCTGACTTGACTCACGGCTGCGTGCTCAAAAGACACACAAACACTCGTGCAATTCCAGACTTTGCCGATTCACAAAAAAATAACTGGACAAGACAAGATTCCGAGACGCGTGATCAAAATAGAAAAAATGTATTAAAAAAATTGATTTTAAGAATCCTTTTTTGTTTGTTTTTTTATTTAGTTATCTTACCGGGTGGCCGAGGCTATCTTTTCGTGCTAGAGCTACTTGGCTAGACACGAAGGCGGGCCCTATGAAGATTGCTTTGACCCCCTCTAGGGGGCATAACTGAAACAACAGATTAAACTTTTCATATTCTTATCCAAATGCGCGTGATCTGTATATATGCCGTGCCTTGTATATGTCTTATTGGATAATGGAGATTACAGGTGATAATGGAAGGGTTGTGTGAAAGAGGGAGAGTTTGTTGGGTTGCTGATTTTACAATAGATATGTAAAATAATAAATTGTGTGTCGTTTGAAACTACTTCTATGCCACATATAGTTTGTTTTATAAGCGGAATGGGTCTGCCTGTTCACCTGACTCACACTGCTGCTAGCTCTTCTCGATCCTGTGCTGTCCTGGGTCGTGTAATTCTGCGACCTTTGATTTCTGTAAGGGGATGGACTTCTGTTGCATCCTCCCCGAACTGTAAACAGAGTTTCATTAGGAAACATTTAAATCATTAATATGGAAAAAGTAATAAGATCATTTTCTATCAGAGAAACAAAGCAATTAAACTGCCCAGGCTCTTGTTGCACAGGCAGTGGTGACATGATCAGAGATAAATGCCTTAAAATTGATTATTTTTCACCTTTAAATTTTTGAGCAATAAAAGATAACGTATTTATTAGTCCCTACCATTTATTTCAATTTATTATTTATCATGCTAGATCAAGTTGCTTCCACGCATAATCATTCCAAACTGGCGGGAAATTATGAAAAAAGATTACTTTTTTTAATGATGAAACATCCTTCCTCGGATGCGCGCACTCACACACAATACACCCAAAACCAACTTTCGGTTATCAAAAACTGTCGAACAAAATCCTTAATTGTAATCTTAGAAAAAGTGCATGGATATTGAAAAAATTGACTTGCAACACTGGAACATCATAATGCTAAAAATACATGGTATTTAAACCATAAAAATGAATTTATAGTACTATAAAAAAACATAGAAAAGAATCAATATGCCAGAAAAATAAATAACAAATTTAACTATTTTAAAAATAGACAGAAGTTCTGGGAAGGAGTAAATTTGATGCGTACAAAAGATCTATTTTTCGGAAGATATCGATGGAGAAACCTTGATGAATCAATTATATTTAGGGGTCTATTGACTAAATTACTTCTTTCAATTAATTAATCTTTTAAGAGTTCAAATGTCAGGATTCGATTCTCGGCGACATATGAAGTGGCGGCATTGAAATATGGCAAAAAGGAGTGAAAATTGGAAAAGCTGTAGCTTGAGATGGGGAGTTGGTGTCCTCGAGGATCGAAGTCACGATAGCTCACGTGGTAGAGAAGCGGCGCATTTAACCGAAGATCGTGGGTTCGAATCCCGCTCGTGCTATTGACTTTTTTATCTCAACTAAAAACCTTAATTAATTGTAGTATATTAATTGGTCAAGTGGACCACGAAATTAGTGAAACTAAAAACTAAGCAAGAGGAAGTTCAGGTTGGTGTGTCACAGATATGGACTAAAGTTTTTTGGTGATTCAACACTCCAAAATATCTTGTGAATAGGTCCTAATTTCTCCAATTTTTTTTAGTTGAAGTTTTCCGTTTTTACTATTTTTATTTCGCCGTTCTACTCATATTATTTTACTTCATTTTTTATCTAGAATACAATAAATATGTAGTAAAAGTTTATTCATAACTAAAAAGTTTCTAAAAATCAAATTTTTTAAGTAAACTATGTTTTAATTTCTTTTTTCCTGAAACTAATATGAAATTTCGTTTTAGTACCTCTAGAGACCCCTAAATATAAATTTTTGTTACAATTTAAATTTATCGATTTTTAGACTCCTACAATTTTTCCGATTTTTAAGAAGTCAAGAGAATATCTGATTGAAACGGCTATAATTCAAAAACGGTTAAAAGTATTTTAACGTCATACATAACATTTGAAAGAAAAGGACGGTAGCTTTTTAACGTATGTAACTTAAAAATATATAAAAGATTTCTATAAGAAAACACACAAAATAGGAAAACTTCAACAACAATTTAAATTTGTCAAAAATTAACCACTTTTTTAATGGAAATAATAGTCAGATTTTACTGTTAGATAGAGTGATAAAATGAACTTGACAATTTGTTTAAAAGGACTTATTAACCATGAAAATCGGTCTTCTAGGTTTTGAGAAATATGATGTTAGTACAAAAGAAGTCAGTCACTCAGATGGTCGACGAAATTATCCGTCAAAAAATTAATTTACACCGATTTCCGCGAAAGTCCGGCATCTTAGTGTTTTATAAAGATAGAATTATGTCAATGAAGTCAAATCTAAGTTTTGAGTATTTTCTGACCTTACTTTGCTTTCAGAATGTTCGTTGAAACATGCAAAAGAGCAGTATTTAATTTATTTTTATTATTAACCCATACGAAATTAGAACATTTTTGTTTTCATCTTAACCAACAATGAAATTAATTTTCCCAAAATAGTATTTTTTAATCTTTAGATAATGATTTATGCGCATATAATTAAGACTAAAATCAGGTTTTGAAAAAAGCTTCATTAACCGGATGAATTTCCTGAATTTTCTTCTCTGGCAAGAAAGTCGGTATCTAAGGGTTATGTTATGGATTTATCCGATATAACTTTTAATTTAGTTAAATTAAATGTAAAGTAAAAAACAAAAAACAATGAAAACGTTTGAATGATTACGAATAAATTTATAGAAACGTCGCAAAAGCACTAAACTTATTCATAAATCATACTCCTAAAATTTTGCCATTGATTATTAAGTACAATAGAGATAGTCTATGAGAACTAAAGAGTCAGGAAAATAAAAAGAGACGTAATTACGTTATATTTTATAGTTTAGTAATGTCACATGAAAGTGTAAATGATGCTGAAAATTTGGAAGAACGTTTCCTATATCAACACCGTACACATTGTCACTTTTTTTACCAACAAAATGTTTTATACAATAGATTTAAAGAAAGAAAAAGAAAATTAGTAGAATATATTTATCATACGCACCTCCGGGCAAAGTAATGTCGACACTTCCTCTGGGACTTCTTGCTTGATCGTGAAGAGAGGCGGATCCTATACTTCCCCTGGGACTCCTAACCGATGGACTCTCTTGGAGAGGTAAACTGTTTCTCGGACTTCTATTATAAGACGTTTCAGAGGCTATACTTCCCCTCGGACTTCTGTTAGAATCCGGCACTAAACTTCCTCTAGGGCTACGGTTAACGTCTGGGATAAGACTACCTCGGGGACTACGCGCTGGGTCGGGGGTTATGCTCCCCCTGGGAGTACGCGATGGCTCGGGTGCAGCGATGCTAATGCTACCTCTCGGCGTCCGAGATGGGCTAGTATCGGGGACTAAACTGTTCCTGGCACTTCTACTCGGACTGACATCGGGCACTAGGCTATTTCTGGCACTTCTATTGTATTCGGGAACTAGGCTGTTTCTGGGGCTGCGGTTGAAATCCTCGGCGAGAAGACTGGATCGGGACCTGGAGAAAAGTTCGCCATCCGGACATAGGCTTCCTCTCGGGCTTCGGTTGTAGTTCACGGGCTCCGGCAATAAATTGTTCCTGGAACCCCTCGTATCGGGTATTATACTGTTTCTTGGGCTTCTGTTAAAATCGGGGACTAGACTGTTCCTCGGACTGCGGTTGAACGCTTCCGGGGTGAGGCTGCCGCGAGGGCTGCGGTGTTCTGGAACCAAGCTGCCCCTCGGGCTACGGTCGAACACGTCGAAGTCGGGCTCGGAATCGGGCTCGTCTTCCGCTGCGGTTATCGTCACGAATTCTGTCGGGCTGGGGCTGGTGTCTTCCGGGACCGCTATGCTCGCTCTCCTCTGCCTGCTGACAGGGGCGGTCAGCTCCGAAGGACATGTCGTTGTAGCAGGGCACACGGCCACGCTAGGACGTCTTGATCCAGTGGTCGTCCGGTGTGGCGATGTCGCTGCACTCCTGGAGGGGCGTCGCCTCTTTGAAGATGCAGTCCGGTGAATCATACTCATACCGCTCTCCCTTCAGCCTCCATCTAAAACAAAACAAAAATATTTTATGACTAAAAACCATGTAATAATTAAAGTTCCAAAAGGCGTTAGATTAATAAGTTAATAAGCCGTTTGATAATTGATTTGTAGGCAATATAACTCAGAATAAAAGGGTTCGATTTTGAACCGTTTTATTAGTCAAGTCCAAGGCTTTCTATTTGTGGAATGAATACGAAATTGAGCTGGACAATCCCTCACTTCCAATCAGAATCTAGACGGAGTAAAATAAAAATCCATTCGAGGCCCGTCTCAAACTGAAAGATTATGCTTAGAAATTGGAGCGGCTTAAGTTCTCTGACGTTTTTCTTCCATTCAGGGTAATTAATCGTTGGCTAGGTTTCACTTTCCTTCCTTTCCACAACTTTTTACAACTGTCATAATAATCAGAGATAACTTATATACCATCTATATAGTCCCCATTAAGGGGACGCCACCAAAGCTCAAACGTTTTAAATAAATGTTATGTAATACATTTTACCTCAACGAATTTAGGTATAAATTTACCTTTTCTAATATGGCTATTTTAGTTGATGCAAGAAAATAGTTAACATCGAAATGTTATGAGAAACCAATGGGAGAAAGGTATCTGAAAATCTTTCGTAAATGTAGACTAGGTAAAAATGCCCAAATTTATAAAAACCAAACTGACTGATTAAAAGTATTAAATCAAAAACCCACTAACGTTAATTTAGTAAAGCGAACGATGAAGGAAAAGCACAGATTCATAAGGCTCTAAAATCTAAGTAGGCCGATCATCTCAGGCTATGAGGGAAAAGAAATATATGTATATATTTATATATATACATATATATAAATCCTTTTTAAGAAGATAGTTCCTACTCACAGTAAGTTGTTTTAGCTCATCATCAGGTTGAAGGACTTCCACAACCACGTCTCTCGACATGAATTGCCAAAGTGAACCCGCTGATACCTCCGCCAACGCGACGTTCCAATTAGCAGCTGATCTTTTTAATGGCGCTCAATTTGAACTCAATTGTACTTGCAAGTTTATGGCATGGGGAATTATAAAAGAATACTACTTGTCTTATAGGTTTGTTTTTCTTATGAATTTTGACTGTACCGTACCCGAAACTCCCAATGTTATACGAAATGAAAGGGTTACCAATGGGGTCTCCATTATCCCCACTTTGTGCTGAAATATTCATGGATAATTTCGAAAAAAATCTTTTCAAATCAAAGAAGAAATTAATTAAATCGGTTCATTTCTGGAAACGCTATGTAGACGATATTTTATGCATATGGTCGGGAACATTAGTGGCTCTCGAATAATTCCTCCAACTAATTAATTCTCTACACCGTAATATAAATTTTACATTGGAAATTGGCAAAGATGGTTGTTTGAACTTTTTAGACCTAAAACTGTCCATAATNTTTTTTTATTTAAGGAGGTGAATGTGAACCCACCCAAATGTGGAGACGGTGTTTAATTTAACTTCTTGGAAGCGGGGATTTTCATCACGGACGGATTCGAGAAGCATACACGGATACTAGTTCTCAGGAAAGTTTACGTTGAAATGAAAGGTTATTTAGATTGTAAGAAAAGGTAAATTTAATTTAAGGTAGTCCTCTTGTTTTATATAGTGTTACATTTACAAAATTAAGTTATCTTTTCTTTTTTTTAATTTGTTTTGTTTTTTGAGTTTTTTTAGTAATAAATCTTCTTGATTATGTGAACATTGACAACTAATTACTTAAAATTTGTTAATAGGCCTAAAACTGATAAAAAAATTTAGTTTAAGAGATTGGCTCAGCTAGCTTATTTACTTGAAACACAAACTCAGGCTTTACTTTCTGTTCATTTTAAAAATAACTCTTTTATTTATTTCATTTTTTACAAGGTTCGCTGTTTCCGTTTCACATGTTAACAGGATGGAACCCACACGTAATTTATTATTAAATTATCTAACCCCGCCAAACTCAACGGAGCAAACCCGGCAAATTTTTCGCGTAAGGACCTTCAGATTTTCATTTATACCTAGCTCTCAAAATTTTAAACAATTTACTTCGCTTGAGGATTGCAGAAAAATCACATTGAGGAATTCATCGTTAAACCTAAAAACTTAAGAAAATTGGGAGGAAACAATGGCCCAGAGCACAACAATCGCCCAGAATCAAATAGATTACACGACATCTGAAAAATGGCAAAAATGCGAGAAAATTAAAAAAAGGTGGGGTTGAAATGGGGGAAGTTAGTGTCCGAGTGGATGGAAGTCAAGATAACTCAGGTGGTAGAGCAGCGGCGAATCTAGCCGAAGGTCATGGGTTCGAATCCCGCTCGCGTCACTGACTTTTTTATCTCAACCAAAACCTTAATTAATTGAAAATTATAAACAATAACGAAACATGAACTTTTAAATTTAACTGATTAATATTAATATTTATAAAATAATTAATATTAATGATTATGATTAATTAAGGATTAATTGAAAGATATTAACTGGTCAATCGGACCACAAAAACTAGTGAATATTCTTAGAAGAACTCCTCGAAAGTTCGCCCAGTGCTACCAAGAAAAAAAAGTGATGAAGAAGGAAGCCATGGTCGCCATTGTGTCACATCTCAGAGAGATGGTCGTTTTATTCTTTCGAATGCACTCTGTAATCGAGATTGAGACACGACATCTGAAAAATGGAAAAAATGCGAGAAAATTAAAAAAAGGTGGGGTTGAAATGGGGAAAGTTAGTGTCCGAGTGGATGGAAGTCAAGATAGCTCAGGTGGTAGAGCAACGACTTGTTGGAAATGATAATGTCAGTTTACGCAAGTAAGACGACGACTTTCAGGGGCTACACTACGTGCGAGAATGTCTGTCACTGGTGCAGAACTTCTGAAAAGGCACAGAACAATTCTAAAATAAGCAGGAAATCACATAAATTCACATCTGAGCAAGGTTGAGGTAAAATCTTGTTATCGCGTGAGTCAAGGTTTTGTTTGACGTATATAAACATATTATTTAATTTTTAAAAATGTTAAAATTATAATATAATTTTTCTATTTTTCATAAAATTTCCTTTTTTACTTGCTCTACAATTTTAATGTTTTAAAATAAAATTTAAGTTTAAAAAAAATGCTAACGCAGTTAATTATAAAGTTTTATATTGTGGAATGGGCACAACAAAGACAAATATTTTGTGTTCTTCTTGATTAGACTGTTTTATTAGATTCGAAATCATCTCGTCAAGGATTAATTCAATCAATAAGACCTGCAAGGAGGAGGAGGCACCTGCCAAGAAAAATTCTAACACTTTCCATCCTTCATTGGCTAACCCTTTACTTAATCAATAAAGTATAACGTTCATAAATCAAAAACAGTACAGAAAAGGGGTGATTGTTTTTAAATATCCCATTAAAGAAAGGATAAGAAATGTGTAAATTCTTCAAAAATAATGTTAAATTCATTTTTGTTAGACAAAAAACAATAGATTTATATTATATTAGTTTCTTTAAGTTAACAATATTATTTTAACAAACAAAATGTTTAATAGTGATTGAATCACAATTTAATAAGGCTAATAATTATATAATTATTACTTTAATTAATAATTTTATTTTAAATATTGTAAACTTTAATAAATAAACACAGTTGACAGTTTATGAATATATTTCACTGGATCACATATATCAAGGGTATAACTGCACGAGGAGCCCAAAAACAGGGATTCTGATCCTCAAAAAAAAAAAAAAAAAAAAGGAGTATAAATAATAATCCTCAAGCAAAATAAATAACCCTTTTCCAGACAAGATTGTCAGGAAGGTTTGTTCTGGAGTTTTTTAAAAGCGCTTGGCAGTAAGTTGATATAAACATAAAATAGCAATACTCTTAACACGACACACAAGAATGGCACAGTTATGCAGAAAACATATACCTGAGTGAGTACAAATACTTTGATTGAATCTAAAAAATATTTTTTTTGCATTGTATAAATCCACTTTTTCCTCATCCTACATGTATTGGTTAAATTTAAACAATGTTTGTAAATCCCAGGCCCTGAAGATGATCTCAATAAAGATCGAAACGTTGGCACGATAAAGAAAATGTTTTTCTGAAAACTACGTCACACCAGACCGCATCTCACGATCTCCGAATAATCAAAAATGCTTATCTGTCAATACTGACAATAAATTTTATTATTGTGTGTTATTGTCCTGCCGGTTATTAGTAACATAGTTTAATCATGTATTGATTTCCTATTATTGATTGAACTTATTGGAACAACAAGAAAGTAGATTATTTAAAATATAAAATCTCTTTGATTGCGTAAATTTTCAAATTTATAACAAATTCCTAAATGTGTACATCCATAAAAATCACTTTTAACAGAGGTTGAGAAAGCGATTTAGCTTGAAGCTCCAGGAGGTCGATGACGACCTAAATGTAATGGGAATTAGACTGTGGCGAAGAAAGGCCAAAGATAGGGATGAATAGAGGGCAACTCATGAGATGAAGGTCAAGGCCTGTATTGAACCAAAGTGGTTTAGAGATAATACTTTTGTGTATAAAATATGTATTACGAAGGAAATCAGAGATATCCAACAAAAGAAATGCATTAACCACGTATCTGTAGTTCCATTTTTTATTCTTAAACGCTTTAATATTCACGAGTGTAATGCTTTCGCTTACATATTTTATTCTATTTTTGCTCATATAAAGGTCACCATTTTGATTTATACGAATTTTACTTAAATATATAAAACGTAAAGAGGTTTTTGGGTGAGATGAAAAATTAGTGTCACGAGCGGGATTCGAAATCTTCGGCTCAACCAAAAACTTAGATAAAAAGAATAATCAAATGAAATAATTAATACGGTTAATTATGACTACTAAGCGAATATAGAATAATGATAAATATTTATCAAATTCCAAATGAGAACAAGCTATCCTACATGTATTTGTATAATTAAAAACGAGTTTATAAATCCCAAGCCTTGAAGATGATCTCAATAAAGCTCGAAACGTTGGCACGATAAAGAAAATGTTTTTCTGAAACCTACATCACACCAGACCGCATTTCACGATTTCTGAATAATTATCAAATTACAAATGTTAATTTTAGATTACCCACTGTAAGATGAAGAAGAGAAGGCCTACCACTGGTTAACACCTCTATGACAAAGAACAGCTCGGTTAAGTTTGTAAGAAATCACTTCAATTTCAAGATTGGGCTAAAATGTTGTTTAGGAGTCAAGGTTTTTTTCCACATCCTACATGTTTTTGTTAAATTTAAACAATGTTTGTAAATCCCAGGCCCTGAAGATGATCTCAATAAAGGTCGAAACGTTGGCACGATAAAGAAAATGTTTTTTCTGAAACCTACATCACACCAGACCGCATCTCACGATTTCTGAATAATTTGTTTATATTTTAAACAAAAGTAATTAATATTATAATTTATATATATATTTATAATTTATAATTTCAAAAATACTTCTACAACAAAACTTTTTTTTTAATTTGTAATTTTAATATTATGCATTTATGTGGCTTTTTCACTTGGGGTCCGTGGGCAATTTTTGACTATAAAAACGGGTCCATGGGCCAAAAAAGTTTGGGAACCACTGATCTAAACTCTCATCACTGTCATCAATTATAGTTGTTTTGACAATTCTAGCTTGCCTAGCTCGGTTGGATCTTGTTAAGGATTGCCTCCAATCTGCAGAATCATCGCTGCCCTCATTGTCACAATAGTCGTTTTCTTCATTTGATTTTTTGAATTTTTCACGTAAATCATAGTCATCACTATTAACACTTAAATAATTTAGTTTTTTGTTTTCTTTCAAAAACTAAGAGCTGGATATTTAGGACCAATCGAAAAAAATCGTTTTGTTTCTTTCTTTTTTGCATCACTGGCCTCTGTACATTATTCATGTAAGACGCCAAGTATGGGGTTACAACGTCAAGCTCGCACTCATACGGTATCAAAATTTGCATAATATAATTACTATCGTTGTTTTCATAACTCGTAATATTTTGAACCTCTATTTTCCCACTGAAAATTATGACTTTTAGGTGCTGAAGGAAATTGTTACCGAATAATATCTAGGAACTAATTAAGTTATCTTCTATGATGTAAAATGAAACATTACAGACAATAAATAATAGGTATTGTCATTCGTTCATGCGTCAAAAACATATGCAGTCCCAACCTCAAAATTACGCCAGGAGATTGCAACGGTTCCGAAAAAGGTGCAACGAGGAAAAAAGAAGTTCGATAACAATTAATTAAACAACAAAAGAAAAAAGGAATTATCAAAAGACTTCAAATTTCTTTGCATATACTTGATTACGATGGGAGGTTGAAATCCTTTTTATTCTATTACAGTCGAATGCAAGATTCGTTAGAAACCTACGATGGTGAAATATGTTCTATTCTTTATAGATCACGTCGGAAAATCATTGGCGCCATGAGGTTGTTACAGAAAAATACCCTAGGAAACTGAAATATACTAGAATTTCAGTCGATGTGAAGATGCAGCGACGTGATTTTTGGATCCTGACTAATTATCACTTTTTTTCAGTTTTACCTGATCCGCGGTTTACCGACTTGACCAATGTAGTGTGGTGAGGAAGCCGGGGCGTGATACAATTCAATTCATGTGCTTATTACCTAGGGGGTACGTTGATGACCTCCCGGTAATGAAACCGATAAATTACATCTATTCCTCGCCTAATCTTGTTATGTCAACAGATAGAGACCCTGAGAGTTTCTGCACAAAAGGGATCACATCTCTTTTCTTAGAAAATTACATCGTGAAATGAGATTTCTATTCCGGTTACACTTCAGCAGTCCAAATTCTTATTTATTCACAAATAATAAAGCAATTGACAAAAACAATTTCTCGTATATTTTACAAATTTCAGTAGATGCTACACTATGTTTGAATTTGTCGAAAAATATATTCATCACTAAACGAATAACGTTTTTTTATATATGTACGTATAATTGAAAAGTGATTAACTATTTATTTCTTTAATACAAAGTGGGAATTTTATGGGCCGACGAACAGCTGAGGTTATCGCCCTCTGCGTGTTTTCCTTCTTTTCTCTTCTTTCGCGCGTATTTTGCTTTAAACTGCAGCCAGATCTGGTCTATGATTTCAAATATATACTACGTTCATATTCTAGAATGCTAACCACTCGTTTGTACTTCATGTTGTCAAATACAGAATAGAAACAAAACATACAATACATATATATACATCTCCATAAACATAGATGTCTGGTCACATTCACTCACCCAGGGTACTCGTTATTCCTGGGGGGGGGGAGGTTATAAGCAACCCCTTCCTTTCACGCTATTAAATTACTTTTACTCTCCAGACATCCTACACTCACCCCAGAGTACTCCATATTCCTCGGGGCGGGGTTATAAGGAACCCCTTCCTTTCATGCTAATAAATTACTAAATTCACTGGTTTTCGTGGTCCGCTTGACCAATTAATATCTTTCAATTAATTAAGGTTTTTAGTTGAGATAAAAAAAAGTCAGTGTCACGAGTGGTATTCGAACCCACGCCCTTCGGCTTGATACGCCGCTACTTTACCACTTGAGCTGTGACTTCGATCCTCTCTGACACTAACTTCCCATCTCAACCCCACCTTTTCAATCTTTCCTCCTTTTTGCCATTTTTCAAATGTCTTGTAATCTATTTGATTCTCGGCGACAAATGAAATGGTATTCTTCTCAGAAATAAATTAAAATTTTGGGTTCCCATTTGAAATAAAAAAGTGACGTCGAAGTCCAACATACTTTACATTGAATTTAAGACGGTTTTTGAATCTGAAAAAAAGGTAAGGGAAATTACTATTGGTAACTTATTGAATATGGTCAAAAAATATAATTNTATAATAAATTAATAATTATATAAATTGTTCTGTTATGGTAAAAATAATTAAATAAACAAATAGAAATTCGTTATATTCAGGCAAGATGAAATTTATTAGGAAGGAAACGACGCATTTTCACAGTATAATCGATAAATAAAATATATTTTTCAATTCTTATTTCTGCTAAAACTATTGAATTAGTATACCCGGTATATAAAATTAACGTTAACATGTACTAAAAAAAGATATATCTAACAGAAAATCTCGTTTTAAAAGGATAGTTGGGGTATTTTAAATTAAGAGACCTCTCATTCGCTGTGTTTGCCATGTGTATAAATATATTTTGGGTACGACAAACTGGGAATTAATTAATACGAGTGTACACAATTGCTCACATAATTTACCCGAGTCTCGTCCTAATTACAAGCAACTGGGCGTTTCATTGTGTAAAGAATCGTCACTTTGTGCTCAGAGTACATACTCATTTCATTTATGATGATAAAGAACCTTTACTCCTCTTGCACGGTCGATGTCAATTGTTGCTATTTATTTCGTTTAAAACTAAAACAATGTCACCGCTGTTCCAGTGCCACATGTTTTTTTTGTTTAGTCGAAGTGTGATTTTAACAAGACAAAATGGATCCGACAGATCCTTACATTGTAAGTACGATTTTTATCATTTGCGTAACGTCTTCTTGTCACAGTTCCGTTTCAGCCTTTGAAAATGTCAAAAGCAGTCTACAGGAATTTCATAGAAGAATCCGGTATAATGGAAGCTTTCACGCTTTTTCTATTTAGGCTCATCGATGAAAAAACAAAGCCTCCTTACCTAATCCAGTATCCTTTTTGTAAAAGCGTTCTCATTAAAAAAAGCATGTTAAAAGAAGGTACGAAGGAGGTATTGCTTCGGGGCTTAGAGCAAAGTGTATTTATATAAAGCTTGAATGTTAATTTATGAAATCCCCCAGGGAAAAGAGGTAAAACGAAGCCGCCAACAGTTTGCCACCGGCGGTCGATAAGCAATGTTGAAAGTAGAATCGCTTAATCAGACGGGCCGACAAAATGTTCTCATGTTTTCCTTCGGAAACATCGGTGCAGTTCCAAACTTGCTCTCCAATTAAGCCAAAGCCTCTTTTGCCGAGGACTCGAGAACCTTTTCTTCCGGCGTGAAGTGGCCGGGCAATCGATAAGGGCGTACTCGTGCTCGAGTATTGTATTTCCACAGTTCTGTGTCAACATTCATACGACGCTCCTTTCTTGTGTATAATTGCACTCTTGTTCCACGCTGTTTTGTTCTGAGACGAGTTCAGGTAGGAATTCAGCGGATGTAAAACCTGTTATCTCTCTAACAGAGATTTTAAATTATTACGCTTAGGCGCTAAATTGACAAAAACCGAAAGAAAATCATATAAAAATAACTATTTCTCGGAATATTTACTAGACAACTAAAGAAGAGACTAGACTAGAATAGTTACAACTAAAATACTTGCATGGAAGGTTTTTTATCCACTGATTTGGATTCGGATTGAATGAGGATTAAAACATCAGGTTCATACGTGCTCATATAGGATGGGTGAAGGCAAGGTAAAGAACTCAAAAGAAAAGAAAAATATTCCAGACTCCTCATTGTTCATTCACAAACTAGCCAAGAGTTAAGCAATAAAAATAAAAGAACAGTGTTGCTCATATTAGTAGGAGTGGAGTTACCTCCTGGAACCTTAGTTGGCCAAAATTTACATATCACTACTTTGATCGAATGACTTTTTTTGAAAGGGAGTCTGAGATTATCTTTTCTTATTCAGAAATCGTGAGATGCGGTCTGGTGTGATGAAGGTTTCAGAAAAAACATTTTTTTTATAGTGCCAACGTTTCGATCTTTATTGAGATCATCTTCAGGGCCTGGGATTTACAAACATTGTTTAAATTTAACTAATACATGTAGGATGTGGAAAAAAGTGCAAAATGCAAAAAATTATATTTTTTTATATTCAATCAAAGTATTTTTACTCGCTCAAAGTGTTTGCTTTCTTCGTAAGTGTGCCATTCTTGCGTGTCGTGTTGAGATTGCCAGTGAGTTGTTGCTGTTTTATGTTTATATACGTTGGATTTTGAAGGAGTGGGGGAGGAAGTCGGTATAGAAAGACATTTCTGTATAAGGAGTCTATATAATCCTGAAAGGATAATCTGGCCGAACCATTACCAACACATTGTTTCCCTTCGTCGGTTCTTTTCACCTCAAAGACGCCGACTCCTTATACAAAAACGACTTTCTATACCGACTTCCTTATAATTTGTTGCATTGTATAAATTTACTTTTTTCCACATACAATCTAAAATTTTCTAGCATTGTTTAAATTCATTTCTTTTAATCTAAAATGTCTAGCATTGTGTAAATTCATTTTTTCACACTCTACATGTATTTGTTAAATTTAAATAATGTTTGTAAATCCCAGGTCGTGAAGATGATCTCAATGAAGATCAAAACGTTGGCAAGATAAAGAAAATGTTTTTCTGAAACCTACATAACACCAGACCGCATCTCACGATTTCTGAATAATTATGGACGAACGGACACTAATCACTAAACATTATCTTTTCTTTTGAGTTCTCTCAGGTTTTGTTCTAACAAAAGAACGGAAATGGATGTGAAGATGTCATTATATTGATAGGGTAATGTTTTTGAGGTGGCTAGAACTTGGCGCTTTTTTTCACGAATAAGTTTTTTTTAGGATATCATACTTTCTGTCCCCCCTTGTGGACGTCGTTTTGGTTTTGGTATAAGAGCTAGCTTTGTACGAAATTCGCTTTTCTACATATAGGAAAAGTGTCTTATAATTTAACTACTCCCTCTCCCTATCAAATGGCACTAATTTTTAGCAAATTGCAATTTTCAGATTCTTATTTTTTCTTATAATTATTCAGAATTCGTGAGATGCGGTCTGGTGTGATGTAGGTTTCAGAAAAACATTTTCTTTATCGTGCCAACATTTCGATCTTTATTAAGATCATCTTCAGGGCCTGGGATTTACAAACATTGTTTACATTTAACAAATACATTTAGGATATGGAAAAGTGAATTTATACAATGCAAAATACATTTTTTTTACATATTCAATCAAAGTATTTCTACTCACTCAAAGTGTTTGTCTTCTGTGAAATTGTGCCATTCTTGCGTATCGTGTTGAGAGTGCCAGTGAGATTTTGCTCTCAAGATGATCTCAGTAAAGATCGAAACGTTGGCACAATAAAGAAAATGTTTTTCTGAAACCTACATCACACCAGACCGCATCCCACGGTTTCTGGATAATTATCGATTAACGGTCAATAATCACCAAACTTTTCATAATATTAGACCAACATTTGAGCCAAATATCACATTTCTACTTATACGGGATGTGCCTTATAATTTTCATGATGAAACTATTCTCTTAGCTCCCAAAGGGGCATTAATTTCTAGAAAATTGCGACTTACCGATTCTTATTTTTACTTGTAATATTAGACCTACATTTTAACTAAATATCATATTTCTACTTACACGGGAAGTGCCTAGTAATCTCCCCCCATCGAAAATGGTACTAATTTTTAGAAAATTGAAATTTTCAATTTTTTACCTTTATTTATAATATGTCATGATGATCAGTGAATCAGTTAATAACAAAAACGCAAATTTTGGAATTCTCCCCTTACTAAAAGCATAAATATTAAGTGATCAAATTTTTACAATGGCCTATGCGACCGAAGCTTAATTTATTTTTCAAATTTCAAAACTTCTTCAAATCTTAGGGGGAAGCAGAAAAATGAGGGTGAGAAAAACTGGGTGAATTGGTTTGAATAAAGATACACATGCCAACTTGCAGAAACTTGACCGTGCTATCAAATATCGAACAGGAAACAAATCACTATAGCAAATTTAATTGATATTAATAAATTAATTTGTTTGGCATTACATTTGTATTAGTGAATTACTTGATCATGAATCTTAAAACTGGCATGTTACAGCGACAAAGAGGGACCAAAAGGCTTCAAATTTGACTACCCAGACTAAGCAGAGTCAGACATATTTCAATTGTGGTTATAGAGAAATTATTCAAAATTCCCGCTATTGAACTTGATCTACATTTTCTTCTTTTTCTTATATTTATCGTGGTTGAGCAGACATACGGAGTGTTGGGGTTTTCTAGCATGAAGAATATATATGAACCCGTACAATAAATAATATTGGCTGTAACTTTGCAAAAAATCTTATTACAAACTCACTAGTTTTCGTGGTCCGCTTGACCAATTAATACCTTTCAATTAATTAAGGTTTTTAGTTGAGATAAAAAAGTCAGTGTCACGACCGGGATTCGAACCTTGGGCTAGATACGCCGTTGCTCTACCACTTGAGCTATCGTGACCTCGATCCACTCGGGCACTAACTTCCCATCTCAACCCCACCTTTTGAATTTTCCCTCCTTTTTGCCAACTCACGATAGCTCAAGTGGTAGAAGTGGTTCTAGCCGAAGGTCGTGGGTTAGAATCCCGCTCTTGACACTGACTTTTTTATCTCAACAAAAAACCTTCATTAATTTAAACTTATTACGAACTTTCACTTTAGCTCCTTTTCCCACAAATCCTACATTTCAAAAATCTAGATTCCCACTTCTCAGTCTTTCAGTAAAATCTTTTTACAACTCAAACATCAAGCTCATCTCGGTGAAATCGTACCGATTTCTATCCTACTAAATGCAAAATATCCTATTTCCAAAATTCTTTCCTCATAACAACCTGCAAAAATTATAAACACTTCCCACAGATCTCAAAAATTATTTTTAAGATTTAGCTTTAAAAAGAATCCGTACTCCTTTTTTGATGCTTGTATAAATAAATAATTTTTTTTTCCTGTTTACCAATATGTAAGAGACTGTTAAACCTTATTATTATTCTTTAATAAGAGGTTTTTGTTTAAATTTCTATTTCATAAATGTTGCTTTTATTTATTGATTTTTATATATTATATTTCTTATTTGCAGTAAATTGAAATTGCACATAACATAAAAATAGCCGTTATTTGGATTTACTTTTTTCAAATTTTAGTATGTGTACTTAATCTTACAATTTACATGCACAGTTTTAAATTAAAAACCTTATTGTAGCAAATATTTTTAAAATTATGCCGTTGTTCTTAAGGGAGAATTTCTCCCAGAGCAATTGCGTTTTCTTTATATCTTGAAATGACGTCGAAACATTTCTAAGAAAACGGCGAAAACATTTTGTCACCAATATAATTAAACATAAAATTTATTATTTTTAATGTAAATAAGGGATACATACAAAACCGCATCTACGACGATCAAAAAACATCAGATTATTTGTTGAAAATTTCATCAAAATAGCGCATATGAGAGGTCATTCATTTCCGTCTTAGGTTATTACTCGTCTGAAAGACGTTCAATTACGAAAAATATATCGAGGCAATAATTTACGTGTTGGTACTAAACTGGCAACATATCAAGAAGGAAGATATTATGATATACGACCTGAAAATGACCAGTATTGATTTTAAGTGTAATAATTATTTCTCAAATGAGAATGTTTTGGTTGAAATTGATTGTAAAGTCAAGTTTGTATAATATTTTTAATACTGAACCGAAACGCTTCTCATAAAAGAAGCAGCGAGAATAGACGGTCCAAATATTATAAACAGTGATAAAACTAAATTTAAGTCAGTAAATTTCAATACTTTAGATTAAATTAGACTATATATTCTGAACTTCTTGTTTTATTTCTTTTCCAAATGTCATATTTAATTTAAAGTCAACGTAAACACACTTTATTCCCTGCTTTATATATTGTAAATAGTTCAAGTCAATTTATAAATTCACCTTTTCGTCGTGGTTTTGTTCGAAAGATACTCTGAGATTGAGCCGGGACGGCTCACATTCCAGATCTTATCGCAATCCGACCCCCAGCAATAAAGAATACGGTACAGAAAATATGGTAACATCAGTGGGCTGGGTAGACCGAGAGCTCTTGCGCGACAAGAGCACGTTTGGCAGGTGCCCCCTAACCCCACTCAGAATTGGCCATACGCGGTTGACACGGGAACGTTTACTTTTGGGCCGAATCGGGCTTGAAGAGAAAGGTTGCTCAATGTGCCCCGCATAAACACATTATAAACACAAAATAGGAAAATCTCACTGGCACTCTCGACACGTCACGCAAGAATGGCACTATTACACAGAAGACAAACACTTTGAGTGAGTAGAAATACTTTGATTGAATATATAAAAATATATATATTTTGCATTGTAAAAATTCACTTTTCTACATCCAAAATGTAATTGTTATATGTAAACAATGTTTGTAAATCCCAGGCCCTGAAGATGAACTCAATAAAGATCGAAACGTTGTCACGATAAAGAAAATGTTTTTCTGAAACCTACATCACACCAGACCGCATCTCACGATTTCTAAATAAATATCGATTAACGGTCACTAATCACCACACATCTTATAGGAAATTGAACGTAGAGTAAAAAACGTCCTATGAACCTGTGTCCGCAAACCCTTCAGTTCCGAGCTACAGGCAAAAAAACCATGAAAAACCACGTTTTTTGACCATATTCGTGAAATTGTTAGAAACCGTTAGTCTGACCGTAAAACAGCTCGACACAACATCTGTACAGGAATAATTTCGAATGAGATTAAAACCAGCCTGATCGGCCGAAAATTTCATTTTGGCGATTTTTCGAAGTTAGGAGGTGAAGAGGTACAAAATTAACCATTTCTGACATTTTTATCGAAAATTCACAACTTGAACTGTTTTCTGATGGGTACTCCCTACTGAATGAAATAATGTACGAAAAACCTGAACGGCTTACCCATCAGAAAACAGTAACATTCGATTTTGGTGAAAAGCAGTAAATTAGCCAAAATTCGAATGTTTCATGAATCGGACTGGTGTTGGTCTAATGTGACTGAGAATTCGATCACCAACAAACGAGGTTTGTAACGGAGAATTTTTTAATAGGGTGTTCAAGTTGTGAATTTTCGAAAATTCACCGTAAAACAGCTCGAAACAACATCTGCAGAGTATTAATTTCTGCGTCGAATGAGATTAAAACCAGCCTGATCGGCCGAAAATTTCATTTTGGCGATTTTTCGAAGTTAGGAGGTAAAGAGGTACAAAATTCACTATTTCTGACATTTTTATCGAAAATCGCCAAAATGAAATTTTTGGTCGACAAACCTCGTTTGTTGGTGATCGAATTCTCAGTCACATTAGACCAACCCCAGTCCGAATCATGAAACATTCGAATTTTGGCTAATTTACTGCTTTTCACCAAAATCGAATGTTACTGTTTTCTGATGGGTAAGCCGTTCAGGTTTTTCGTACATTATTTCATTAAGTAGGGAGTACCCATCAGAAAACAGTTCAAGTTGTGAATTTTCGATAAAAATGTCAGAAATGGTTAATTTTATACCCCTTCACCTCCTAACTTCGAAAAATCGCCAAAATGAAATACAGATGTTGTGTCGAGCTGTTTTACGGACAGGCTAACGGGTTACTAACAATTTCACGAATAAGGTCAAAAAACGTGGTTTTTCATGGTTTTTTTGCCTGTAGCTCGGAACTGAACGGTTTGCGGACGCAGGTTTATAAGACCTTTTTTACTCAGCGTTAAATTTCCTATGAGATCTGGAAGTGTGGCTGAATCGACTGGGGCCACCCTGTATTGATATTTTGTTTATTGCTGGTAATCGGATAGTTGTATATATTCTAAATTTGGTGAAAGACGATTTAATTGTTCCGTAGTATGTATTTATAGGCGTGAATGTGTGTTGTAAAGTGCGTGTTAGCGGAATATTAAATACGACATCGACCCCATTATACTAGATAGTGGTATAAAATAATCTTCTTTATAAGTGCGATAAAGAGTGGTCTAGGAATATCTAGTACTCCTACTTGAGCAAAAGGTTAGTGACGTGCGATACCAATCGATATGAGTAAAGTATCGAGTATTTTCTTTCGATACCGATTACTTTTGGTATCGAATATTGTCATTTGATACAATTATTGTATCGAGTACTTTTTGTAGTATCGGAAAATATACTCAAATAGATTTTTCGTTGTTATTTTCCGTTAACTTACCTGTCATCAAACTGGGAGTTGACTAGTTATTGTTAAGAGCGCCTACTAGCGGCATATAAGGTAATCTAGATTTTTAATTAGTGTTGGTAACTCTGCTGATAATTCTGGTTACTCGTAATTCTTTCCCGCGTCACAAATCGCACTTTCAATTTCAGTAATTTCTTATAAAATGTTTTTTGTTTTAGTCCCTAAAAAGTGTTCGCCTTCCTTCTCGTAGGTAGATACCTAATCGTGTCTCCTCCCAAAAGTAAGGCATGAGGTTAAGTTACTAAGAAAACTGAATCGTTGGCATCTTGTAAACTCTGGGGAATTCAGAGGGAATACGTCTTATCTGTTCAACCATTTGAAAACCAAACACCCGTTGATCAATTTTCTCAAAACTCGATAACGATAAAATTGAAATATCAATTATTAAATTCACTAATTTCGTGGTCCACTTGACCAATTAATATATTACAATTAATTAAGGTATTTTGGTTGAGATAAAAAAGGAGGGAAAATTCAAAAGGTGGGGTTGAAATGGGAAGTTAGTGTCCGAGTGGATCGAGGTCACGATAGCTCAAGTGGTAGAGCAGCGGCGTATCTAGCCGACCATCGTGGGTTCGAATCCCGCTCGTGCCATTGAATTTTTTATCTCAACCAAAAACCTTAATTTTTCCTTGTTCTTACCTACGTACCCACTGTATGAAAAAATACTTCAAAATGAAAAAAAAAACTTCAATTTCTTGATTATTTTAACGCATGAGCGTATTTTAACCAAAGTCCACAATAGTAAGTTGATCATTTATGAATAAACGAAAAAGTACTCATATTAGCAAGTACTCGCTAGTATCGGGTAATTTCTGTCATCCTTGAGTATTATCGAATATTTCTTTCAATATCAGTGTTGATTACTGGATGGTTAGGGATGGTTAGGGTAGTATTTAAGATGGAAAGTATTTAAGAAAGAGTGTGTTTAGGTTAAAACTGCATCCGTTACGGGCTGAAATGACTTTGCTGTCGATAGCCATTGAACCAACTTCGCCGGTGGTACGACCTCACGGAACGAAGTATTCTAAGTTTTAAATAAACAATAATACACATTCGCTTTAGATTTTAGTTTTATTTTCTAATTAATTTTAGTGAAGTTAGTTCAAAATTCACGTTTTTTATATGTATAAATAATATTGCATAACAGCACAATATTTTATAATGCTTGTATATCCTTTATTACGTAGTGTGCAATTTTTCGTTTTCTCTAATTCATTAAGCCCATAATTAGAAGGAGTACTTCACAGTTCACCTTACAACTTATTCAACATGGAACAATGTTTAACATTTGAATTGTTGAACGAGTAAATACAGAAGTGCAACAATTTCACTTAAATAATTAAATTATTTGAAACAGTTTGACCAAGTGGGTGTATTTTTGATGGGGTTCTATCAATTAATAATGTCCAATGATAATTATTAATATATATACGTGATAATGAATTGATCATTTCTATCTAATATGCACGCGTCAATAAATCTCCTTATTATTGCATAAAGTCAATATTCTGCATTACACAGAAAAAGAATTACATTATTACATTAGAGCTGTAAGCATTAAATGTAATTTCAATTAATGCGGTCCATTTTGACTGCTAAAAGTACATGTATTAAATGTAATATTACATAAGTTATATTGATATTTTATTAGAATGATGTAAATTTATTTTGAGGGAATTTTATGCGATATAAATTCAATGGAAATTTTAAAATTTGGGCTTTTTGTTACCGTTTGTAAATATCATTCTTATGTAATTCGTTAAGCAAACAAATTTTAAAAAGACTGTTAAACATGCAAATCGTTCCTTTCAAAGGATTAAACTTTTTTTCAAACTGAGTACAGGGTGGTTCCTATAATGCTAAAATGAGATTTTCGCTTTCTCCGAAAATAAAATTGATTGTCAATTTTACATGTTGCCATCACATCCCAATTTCCTTAATAATGGTCAAATGGTAAAAGCTATTTCAGGAAACATTTTGGCTACAAGATTTCTCGTGACATGCCGAATATTCATTACACATGGGAGCAGATCGAGCAGGAAAAACGCAAGCTGGAAGCCCTTCAGATGGAGAACGTGAAATTAAAACACGAACTATCGTTTTACGATACATATTACGAAATGCGTCCTCTCCGATACAGGTTTCCTATAATGCCCGAACTCAAAGCAGAACGTGAAAAGAACCCTGACGGGCAGAGTCCAAATTAGTCAATAAACTGATTATCCTTTCGAGTGTTTTTTTTTATTAATCTGATTTAACATATTTATCTTTAAGAATTATTCCTAATATTATCGATATTTATCTTTTCCTTCCTTTTGCCTGGAACCATAGTATTGATTAGTTTTCCCACTTACCAGACCGCGAAAAAATTCCAATTTTATGCTAATAATGATTGTTCTATGAAGAAAAACTCGCTTTGTGTAAATCTTACAAAATTCAATATGTTTAGGCAATGGCAAAGCTGGAAAGTGGAAAAAACCTAAGAAACCTTGTCAGGAAAGAGGCATTTCAAGAAGACATTAACAAAAGTAGCCGCTCCGAGGAATATCGAGTAATCTGGGAGTGAGTGTATAACGTCCGGAAAGTAAAAGTAATTTATTAGCGTGAAAGGAAGGGGTTGCTTATAACCTCGCTCCGAGGAATATCGAGTACTATGGGGTGAGTGTATGACGTCTAGAGAGTAAAAGTAATTTATTAGCGTGCAAGGAAGGGGTTGTTTATAACCTCGCTCCGAGGAATATCGAGAACTCTGGGGTTAGAGTATGACGTCTAGAGAGTAAAAGTAATTTATTAGCGTGCAAGGAAGGGGTTGTTTATAACCTCGCTCCGAGGAATATCGAGTAAGACTTCTGGAGAGTAAAAGTAATTTATTAGCGTGAAAGGAAGGAGTTGCCTGTAACCTCGCCCAGAGGAATATCGAGTACTCTGGGTGAGTGAATGTGACCAGACATCTATGTTTATGGAGATGTATATATATATATATATATTGTATGTTTTGTTACTATTCTGTATTTGACAACATGTGGTACAAAGGAGAGATTAGCATTCTAGAATATCACCGTAGTGTATAATTGAAATCAGAGAGTCAGTAACCAGACCGAGAGGCTCAAATGGCTGCAGTTTAAAACAAAATACATGCGAAAGAAAAGAAAAAGAAAGAAAACACGAGAGGGCTGACGATGACCTCAGCTGTTTGTTGGCCCATAAACTTCCCACTATATATATATAGCAAAAGTAAAGATTTACAAAATAGTTACCATAAATTTCAATCATGGTAAATAACCGTCTGCCGGAGTTTTAAATTCCTTTGATTACACCATAATTTCATTGATCTGTAATGATTAATTCAAAGAGGATTTCGATTAAAAGTAAAAAAAAGAAATCCATAAGTAAACATAATTATCTAAAATTTTCTTTAATTTCTTTCAATAAATACTTAATCTTTATATTCCAAAAACATCAACTGATACACTAAGTTAACAACATAGATAAAAAAAATCAATAGTTAACCTTATGTCAACAACGTGAAACGCCCGGATATGTACTACAACGTCGGGTCATTTTGACCCAACTTTGTTTTTAAGTACAATGAGTCATATTTTTCCGCATTTTTGGGAAATATGAAGAAATTTTTTAAAACGTTCTTACTTTTATTAACCTTGTAGGATACGAAACCGCATTTTTTCAAAATATATGGTTTAAAACATATTGTAATCACAATAAAGTACAGTCTAGCAAGGAAAAACTCGAAGATTTTGGGAAATCTTTCTTTGGAAAAATTTAACTTCGAGTTTTTGATATTATCTACAAACCTACAGACAAACTTCTTCGTAAAGTGCACATTAAATTCGGATAAAATGAAAATGAAAAAGATAACTTCACAAAAATGGAACACAGTATCACAAGGAACAAAAATGACAAACATACTCCGAAAAAGGGAAAGCAAAGAAGGAAGATAAATCGGTTGTGAGCGGTCTATTGACCATTAAATAATCCATTAAGTAATCCATTAAAAATTAATAATAAAATTATNATACTCCGAAAAACGGAAAGCAAAGAAGGAAGATAAATCGGTTGTGAGCGGTCTATTGACCATTAAATAATCCATTAAGTAATCCATTAAAAATTAATAATAAAATTATAATAGCTAAATAAAACTAGACGTTCATGTGATTATTTAAAATTCGCCCCAATTAACATAGGAGACAGAATCTCTAGAATTACTCTTAGAGCTTGGAAGACGATTTCATCCGTATAAATTTGTTAAATCTATAAGACACTCAGACGCCCTGCCCATGTATTTAAGTACGGCGCGATGACCGATGAAGTTGATATTTATGCCCTAACTTTCAAAACTTAAATACGGGAACTGTTAATAGCTTTTTACGACACGAGCTTAAAGATAAATGGTCGAGTTTTCATAATTTTTTTTTCAGACGGTTCAAAGACAGAAACAGGGATGCTTTTTGCACTTTTTATGATCCAGTTAACGAGCATGAATGCTTGATTAAATTGCCCCAAGATAGTAGAGTGGATTCAGCGGAGCTACATGCCATTTCAAACATTCTCGGTTACTTAGGTTTTACTACCAGCAATAAACGCACAAAAATACCAGTAGTTAGGCCCCCTGATAAAATTAAAGAATCGGAACGTACATGCTACTGACAACCACCACATTTTTGAAATTCTAAAGAATATAAATTGCCTTAGACGGATGGATAAGAAAGTTGTTGTAGCTTGGGGAAGAGCTCTGAAGCGCTGAAAAAGTAGACCGATCAATAAAAGAAGCGGCTTCAGAAGATAAATGATCAATTTTTACCCTCCAATATACTGAACTCAATAGTAAATTAAAATTTCAGTATTACAAAACGAGCCAAAAGTGTCATTGATGGTGGTTTCTCCGGGGTTAGCGTCCCCGATACGACTTATCAGCAGAAAAATAATTGCCTTTTCTCACCAGTGATTTTTCGTATATATATATAATTAACACCGACTATTTTATTAGCTGAATAGTTTGGAGCCAAAGCAGTAAAAGGTAAACAAAATCGTAATAATGTTCAAACCCTCAAATAATATTTATGTCCAAAATATATTTTTTGGATTTAATACATCGAACAATTACTTATTGTAATAGATCAACTGTTATTTTCATACAAAATTTATTCATTATTAATTATATAGTTTTATATAAGTCATTGGACCCATTTGGTAAAAATGATGAAATGATCAAACGTGATCAAACGTTTAGTTTAAAGTAGGGATCAGAAAAGAAATATACGATAAAAGGTTTGTTCTCTCTTTCTGGCAATTCTTTCTGGGGTGGAAAATCCTTACAGTTTCGAATTACTGTCGAGTTATATGTCAAGTCGAGGAAGGTTTAGACAAACGATACAGGATTTACGGCGACAACACTGGAAACGTGAAACAAATATGGCGATTTTTTTTTAACATGACTCGAAACATTTCAACACACATTTTTTTTGGTTCATTCAAAAAAAATCTATCCACATTGGTCTTTTAACGTGGCAAACAACGAGAAAATTATATTTGACATTTTAGTGATTTTTCAACTTACGGCAATATGGGGCATTTTTATAGAATGAACTTGCATAACTTCGTTTCGACTTGGGTAACGAATTGGTTTAAAAAAACCGTCAACCAAAAACGTCACAGACGCGCACAAGTATTTGAATTTATATCATAATTAAACTAGTTTAATGGTTTAGTTCATTTGTAGTTCATAGTTCATTTTTCACTTTCATTTTATGTTATATCATTGCAGTACTGTATTTATAATTAAAATACGTAAAAATTTAATGTAATTGGCAAATTGGGCAAATCAAGAAAAATATGTTTTATGGCTAACTTTATTTTAACCGGTCAATTTTTTGGTTTCTGCAGGTTTTCGCCCCCGATATGAGTTATCAGCAGAAAGATAATTTCTTTTGTACTTACCAGCAATTAATTTCATCGACTATTTCATTAGCAGAATAGTTCGGAGCCAATGCCGTAAAATATAAACAAAATCTCACTAATGTTCAAACTTTTCTGCAAAAGAATATCAACAAAATTGTGTAAATACAAAAAGTAAATAGAAACAGGGAACGATCACGCCAAAAATTTTGACAGAATAAGTTTGGTTTATGATCATGTGTCCAGTTTTAGAATCAATCCTAAATTTTAAGTTTTCTTTTTGGCATTCTTTAATATTTGTAATATTTGTAATATGAACAACTAATTTATTTGTTAGTTGGATGATTAATTAGTACAGCTTTTAAGGATGTCTGCCCTAACGGCGCACAAGACCAACACTTCTGCAACACATCAAGTACTGCGGGTTTAGTATACAGGACGCCCTACATAGAAAATTCTCCTCAAAAAGTCAGAAGGAAAATATTTGTACTTTTGATTTTTTTTTTTTAAATAAATATGTAAATACATTAATTGTGAAAGTGAAAAATAAGCCGTAAAAAATTTAAAAAAATACAAAAAAAGTAAAAAAAGTGTTATTGTTTTTTATATACCCTTTTGGCGAATACATTAATAGTGCTTGCAAATATAAAAACATCAATTAACAGAAATCATTTATGCACAAATATGCGTAATATACATTTTTTTTTCATAATAACACTTTTCTATGGTTAACTCACTTTGTATTCTCTAGGCATTCTCTACGGTTTTTATTTACTCCTAGTTATGCCCCGCCCGGAGGAATATCGAGTACTCTGGTGCATATAAAAGGTTTTTTTTTTTCTTTAAGTTAGGCAGCCATAAATTTCAAGAAATTGAATCGTTCATTGTTGAAATTAACATATTAAAAATTTATTATGTTGCTTCTCATTTTTTTAACTTTTATAACCTTTTTTACAACAATAATTTCTTAAGACGCGTTATGGTTAAAAGAAGTTTAAGCTCTAACACTCGGTTTACATTGTGGATTAAGATGCCGTGTTCAACTTTCAAACATTTCTTGACAAAAATAATTAGGAAATACGTCACGGTAAGATAATATAATTGTAAAATTTCCCGCGTCAATTTGCCAAAATTGTCCTATTTTTTATATCGGTAATATATATATAAGTTTAAAACGGTTGAATGTTATATTATAATAAAATTCGACAGAACTTCGTGCTTTATTTATTTCTTGTTTTTTTTTCTAAATGATTGAAAATATAATAACCACTATAAAGAGTAGACGAAAGCTGTTAAAATTATTATTGAGCAAAGAT